ATTTGGGTTTTAGGGCGTGACAATCTTTCCCCGCAATTAGAATTGAATCATATCCTCCTTGTTTAGAGTTCTGGGTTCGAATCAATTATATTTGGTTTGAACCAATCCCTAACTTCTTTTTTCCGAAAATGGTTCGAACCAATATTTCTGACTTCGAAGCAAAAATTCTGAAACGTTAAATTTTGACAGCTCAACTATTTGTTTATTCTTAATGGGTCATAGGGTATCTAAATGTCTTAGCACTTTCTAAGACAAGTCAGAAGAAAAAGGTGGAACCTAATTGGGGCAATTGTGAGGTGGCTTTGAAAGGCTAAAAGGGCTTTAATTGCAAGGCTCCCAACCAACTATTAAAAGGACATAAAAAATCAGATCTAAGAAAGAAAGAAGGACGAACTGCTATAGAAAGCAGAGTTTGAAACTGTTCTGGATCTCCTTCTTATTCTCTTCGTATGAGCTTTTGGGTTAATTGTCTTACAAGGGTTTTGTATTCTTCTTGGATTGGGATAATCCTCGAAGGGGTTGAGTGAGTTGAGATTCACTTGTGAAGGTTTAATCTTTGCACCCGCAAGCAAGAGTTTGTTCCGGTTTAATCTTGCATCCATAAGCAAGAGATTTCTAGTGGATTGAACTCTCGAGCAAGGAGGCTCGGGGAGTGGACGTACTCCGAGTTGGAAGAACCACTATAAATCACGACTTGATATTCTCTTCCCTCTCTTTTATTTTTCTACACTATATTACTCTTGTTTATTCTGCACAACAGCTTATATATATTGAAAACTTCATTCACGTTTTTATAAAGGAAATGAAATAAGTTTTATATCTTAGGAATTGAGGGGTAGCTGGCTGGGATTACAATTGGTATCAGAGCAGGTTCTCTTAGAAATAGATTTAAAAATCTTGAGTAGATCCATGGCTTTCCAAGCTCATTTTGTTGAAGGTCATTCAATCACTAGGCCACCTTATTTTGATGGAACAATTTATCAATATTGGAAAAATAGGATGCAAATTTGATTAGAAGCAAATAGCTATGAGATGTGGGATTGTATTGCTAGAGGACCATATAAAATCTTAGTTAGTGACAAGGATAACGAACTTGTTTTTAAGGATCCTGCATCATATGATCAAGCTGAAAAAAAGAAACTGTAGATAAATGCTCAAGCTAAAAATGCATTATTTTGTGCTTTACATCCTAGTGAATATGATAGAATTAGTGCATGTGATTCTGCTAAGGAAATGTGGGATAAATTAGAAGTGGCCCATGAAGGAACTAATGAAGTCAAGAAATAAAAAATTAACATGTTGGTTCAAAAATATGAGCTGTTCAAAATGAAATCAGATGAAGACATTAAAGACATGTTTACTCGTTTTACCAAAATCACTAATGAATTAAAGCTTTTTGATAGGGTGCTTCTTGAGGAAGATAAGGTCAGAAATATTCTTCACTCCTTGCCAAAATCCTAAAGTTCAATGAAGATGATAATAAAAGAAGCTCATGATTTAAGTGCCATGACTGTTGAGATGCTGCAAGGGAAGCTTCTTACACATGAAATGGCCATGAAAAATGATGAAAGTGATGAAGATTCTCGGAAGAAGAAATCTGTAGCTTTCAAAAGCTCCTCCAAAGATGAAAGTGATAGTGATGAAAAGGATGATGAAGAATTTATAGTGCTTGCTCGAAAGTTTAAGAGTTTCCTAAGGAAAGACAAGCTGAAGAATAAAGGACAACAAAAGAAAAACTACAAAAGCAATAAAGGAAAGGGAGAAAGCAGTAAAAAGGATGAAATTATCTGCTACAAATGCAAGAAGGCTGGACATATTAAATCTGAGTGTCCAAACAATGATGAAAAAAGTCTAAAAGCCAAAAAGAAAAAGAAGGCAATGGTTGCCACATGGAGCTGCAGTGAGGACTCATCTTTTAGTAAAGAAGTAAGTGACATGGAAGCTCATATTTGTCTCATGGCAAATGATGACACAGATGAGGTAAATTCCAGTTCTTCTTCTATTTTTGATCATGCTAGTGATGATGAAATGCCATATGAAGATTTGCAAGATGCATTTAGTGAATTATATGAACATACTAAACAAATTAGTGCAAAAAATGCATCTTTAAAAAGGGAAATTTTGTCACTTAGAAAAGAAAACAGTGATTTGAAAGAATCTTTAAATGAGGAAAAGATAATTAGTCAAAATATGGAAACTGACTTGGAAGAGTCAACAATTGCATTTCGAAATTGTAAACAAAAGCTGATTGAAGAGTATGATATGTTGGTAGATGAATTAAAAAGGAAAATAAGCCCTCTTGAATGTTCTTTGAACAATTTTGTGAAAGGTAAAGATAAGTTAGACAACAATTTAAGTTCACAAAGATTTCCTCATAATAGAGCTGGACCTTCTTTTGAATTATCCAAGTCTTCCTCATCTAAATCTACTGTTTTTATGAATTGTAATACTTTGCATTCTTATGACATAGTAGAAGCATCAAGTTCTAGAGATAATCATG